ACTAAAAAAACCAGAGCTTTCATGTGCAGATTTCAGTGATATAATTCTAAACATGCAGCAATTGGTCTGGAAGGTTGCTTGCTCCAGTTTTAAGCTATTTTGTGAATTTTCTACTGTTTAATTTTTTACATTTCTTTTTCCTTCTAAAACCTAAAATAATAGTAGGTAATTTGTGAATAAGGACACCCATTCTCCAGGCAGAATTAGAATTTTACATTTGCTCCTGGCTCAAGATTGTCTATAAAAGAGTGACTTTTATGTAGAAGGAACCAGCACATCTTAGGCAAAATTAAGTGCATTCACCAAATCCATGAAAAATGCTACCAAAACAGTCTAGGTTTGTTTTTAGAAACATCTTCAGGCTGAATATTTTCCTGAAGAGTTAAAACAAACCCACAGAAGCAAATTGCAATTTTATTTATACCTTTCTGAAAGTACATTTATACCTTTTTCAGACTTTGGATCTGCAGCACAAGAAATAAATTAGGTATTTATCTAACAATAACTGATAATTTTATTAAAGTTATTTTTAGGTATTTCATTCTGGAAAATTGGAAGATATTTTTTGGGAGGGAGGGAAAATCAAAATTAAATTAAAATTGTTTTCCCAAATTCCATGAAAATAGGAGATTCTCTGGACTGCTTCAGATAAGTTAATAGTCCCCATCTCCGATGGAGGTAATAGTTAAAAACGGTTTATATTTGCACTGCTGGATTTGAAGCTAGAGCAAATGTTTACTTTGTTGTGATTATATATTTAAAACCAAGAATAACAGCTTGAGATATTTGTGCAGTTGGTCTGGCTCTGTTTTTTCAAACAAATCAGCTCTCTATACAAAATACTCCTTTGTGACCATTGCCCAATACACTTCCCTATTCTGATAATAGTTCCACCAAAATGAAAGATGGGGGAGGAGATGAAAGGAAGGCAGCCTTCACACAATATGCTAAGCCCAAAAATTTCATTAATCAGAGCATTTGCTGTCATTTTATTCTGTTTTCACTGCACTTGATGTTTATTCAACTCAGACACCCATCATTTAATAAGTGGTGGAAGAACAGTGTACAACAAGATCAACTTCCCATTTACTAAACTTTTTAACTCAATGTGTTACAGGAACTCAGTCATCTTGAACTTTGATGCAAGAAGTACCCATAAAGTCTTCTAAGCTGGATTTCAGTAGGGACAGTCCAAAACTTGATATAGCCTTAGTGACATCACCAAGATTTGGTGGCTAAATGAATTGGTTTCTAGCACTAGAAGTACACAACCCTTTGGTATTAGTGTCTGATAAATTCAAATAACTTTTTTCAAGTCAATCATGATAATTATTTCTAGTTTTAACAAACATCTAGATCCTTCCCCCAAGTCAACGTGATAGGATTATTTCCAGATTGCAGTAACATGAATATAAATATGTCAGCAAATAATGTCCTCCACTCTGTGAGCATTTTACTGAAGCACTTCCATGCCGCTAATGGAGTTGTGCTGTCAGGCTAGACTTTGGGATTCAGGCTCAAAAGGAATTCAGCCATTAAACACAAAGTGGTTCAGGCAGTGTGCTTTAGTTGGCTTTGGCTTAGTAGGAGATATGAACCAGGCTCTTCTATCTAAGTCAACGCCTTAAGCATCATCTAGTTTTAGAGGAGAAAATATTGGGGAGGAGGGAAGGGGACATGAATTCATTGAGCAAGAGCAAAATATATAGCTCATAAGTTGTCCTAGAAGGCCATATTCACATGGTAAGCCAACCCATAGTTAAACTGAAATTTACTCGTTTTGCTCCACATATCAAAGCATGAATTAATTGTAGTGATTGAGCTTATACAATATTCAGAGCCACAAACTAGCTAATTTTAACCAAGAACATTGTGTAAATCTAGTATATAAGTAACAAAACTATCTTTTAGCTCTCAATGTTTTTGCCAGCTGCTTTAAAAAGCCCTCAGTTAGCACTAATTGATGCAGAATGACTAACTGTGGAATCTTGAAATATGAAATCTTAAAAAGTCTTACTAAAACCATACTCAGATCCTAAAACATAGATGAAAATTAAATAGGCAAGTGTGTGATATAGCGCATTAGTGATGCTGTGCTCTGAATTTTCTCAAGCTGTTTACAGATTGTGATTTTCTGTGATCAGGGAAGGGTGCCTACTGTTGTTCTCTTTCCGTATGCTACAGATCTCTGTGGTGCCTCTTCTGCAGAATTCAAAGTGTGAAATATCAAGCAATGGCACACTCAGTACCTTAGGGTGACAGATGCTCCTGTGCAATAATCTGTCTGCATAATTTCATTATTCCCAAAATACAGGAGGAGGAAAGTGTGGCATGTTTGGGAAAGAGTGACTGTATCATGTGTGACCTTAGCATCTTACATTCAGTTCATGATATTTTTCAGTGATAAGTTATTATTGAGAGCTTGAAAAAACAAAACAGAAATGGAACTTGGTAGGTAGTACTTGTTCCATCTTTACCAAGAATGAAGATTGGTAACGCCTCACAAGTCAGGCTCAGGGATTTAAAGGATCTTGATAGACTTGTAAGGTTGGGAAAACTAGATCAAGATACTGTTTTATAGATGGCACCTTGATCCACAAAAAATGTCTCTTATGTATCCTGACCTACAGCCTAAATGTTGGAGATGTGGTTGTTTGGATGCCACTTACTCTCATATTTGGTGGTTGTGTAAAAATATAAAAGCTTTTTGGATTAAGATATGGTGGAATATTCAGAGAATTTTTAGAAAGAGGGTAAAATTTACTCCACAATTATTTTTGTTAGGTATAGTTACTGATTGTGATGCAAAGGAGGTTATATTGATGTTGAATTTGATTACAGCCGCAAGGCTGTTAGTAGGGCAATACTGGAAGAAGGAATCTTTGCCTACTTTGCAGGAATGGTTTTTTAAAGTATCTTACTTGGCGGAAATGGCAAAGATTTCGGCTTTCTTAAAAGAACAATCGCAAGAGAAATTTTTTGCTGTTTGATAAATGGATAAAGTTTATACAATTTAAATTGGATATAAAAAAATATTATTTAGCTTTTTTATAACTTTTATTTTTATATATATATATATATATCTTATTGTTAATTTTTATTATAATCTTATTGTTAATTTTTTTATAATCTGTTTAACTTAAATTAAGCCTATATTCTGCTCTGGGAAGCTCTGGGGGGGAGGGAGTGGGTGGTTTGGGAAGGGTTGGGGGAGGGTTGTTTTGTTTTGTTTTTTTTTCTTGTTGTTATTGTTCGTATTGTTGTTTTTTGTTTTTTGTAAAAAATTTTAAAAAATTTTCAATTAAAAAAAAAAAAAGATACAAGAGGCAATATACCTGGGTTGGGAGTAGTACTAGTGAGAAGGATCTTGGCATTCTGGTAGATTGCAAATTAAGCTTGGGCCAACAGTGTGGTGCAGTTGAAAAAAGAACCAGTGCAATCTTGGACTGTATTAACAGAGATATGGTGTCAAGATCATGGGAAGTGATTGTTCTGCTCTATGCTGTACTTGTTAGACCACACATGGAATGGTGTCCAGTTTTGGGGTAACAAAACAAAAAAAGGCGGAAGAATTGGAGAGTGTGGGAAGAAGAGTAAGGAAGATGGCAATGGGCTTGGAGACTAAAATATTATACATAATTATTACAGAATGATTAAAAGAGCTGGTACACTTAATCTAAAGAAGAAAAAGCTAAATGGGGACATGGCATTTTTCAATACCTGAAGGGCCATTATAGGTAAGTGGATGTGTATTGTTCTCTATAACATCTGAGGAAAGGACAAGAATCAATAGGTAGAAGTTTTACACAAAGAGATCTGTAACTCAATATTAGAAGAGATTTCCTGGCTATGGGATCTTTTAATCAATTAAGCTAATAAATGTGAATTATTTAGCCTGTGAGGTTACTGAAGGTTTTTAAGCAAACATTACACAGCTATTTGTCTAGGATGCTAGAAGATGTATAAGATTGTCCCTTCCAAGCCTAAGTTTCTATATGTTGACTGCTGAAATAAAATCCTTCAGATCCAGGAATAATTGCTTGTATGGACCCAAGCCTGCATTGAGTGGTGTGCAGATTTGGAACAGACTTGTCTAAAAGGAATTAGAGAGCCAGTTTGATTTAGTAGTAAAGGCAGCAGGCTACAAACCAGGAGATTATAATCTTTAGTCCTGCAGTAGGCAGTTAGTTGGATGATTTTGGCTTGTCAGGACCTTGGAAAAGGCAATGGCAAACCACTTCTAAAAACCTGCATAGACTTGTCCACGGCAGACTTGAAGGCATGTAGCCATTCACTCAAAACAGGAAATAAGGAATAAATTTGATTCTTAGGATGGGCAAGATAGTTCACTGCCTGCCATTAGAATTTGGAAAGAAGAAAACTTGAAAAGGCCGTTCTATTTTAAGAGGGAATGAGGGAACTTCTGGCAGGGGATTCTAAACTAAAAGACATGTTTTTCCTGTTACGAATATGTACCTCACATACGTGAATGAATGAAAGGCATACTGTTAATTCTGAAAAGAATTTTATTTGAAATGCTTGTTTTTCATGGGTATGGTGGATTTTTAAAGTTTATTTATTTATTTATTTATTGCAGTATACTGCTTTATTTATAAACATTAAACAATGATGTCACTTGAACATGGATTATTAGGCAGATTATAATTTCAATAAACAAACAGCAAATGTGGAAAGTAGAAGATCTTACATTCAGTTCCTTGAAATTTTAAAAGGTGTCTCTGCGAAACCAGGTATGTTATCTCCTATTGTCAATTGACTAGCCTTCTTCAACCAGATCACTCCTGGTTGGACCTCCTATCTGAAGACTTGTCCGTCAACTGAAAAGACAACAAGGGCACTCCTTTGGGCAAGTCAGAGAGCTTGTGGACTACGAGAGGTAACACACAAACCAAGTAATAAAGAGGTTTGCTCCCCTCACTAAGAAACCCGAGCGAGTGTTAAATATGTACTATCACATACTGCAGATTTAACAAGAAAACTTCTAGGTTCATGCACATTTTTATTGAGTAGTAATATAAAATGCTTTTTTTTTCATTGTTACAAGTGCATGCTTTGATTGCCAACATTTCATAAGTCAAATTACAAAGGCAAGGCTGTAGGCTGTAGTGAATTACTTGGGCACTTATACAATTGATAAAAAATATCAGTGGACTGTTTTGTTGGTTTTTCCTCCTTTAAGACTGAACCAGTTGTAACCCGTAACTGATATATAAAGGGAAAAAAAGTGAAAAAAAAAATCACACATTTTGTGGCACATGACAGAACGTAACAAAATGACTAACTCATCATGACGTTAACAGTTCTCATGCATTTAGTTTCACGTGTAACTACAAACTTAGTTTAAATTTCACAAGGTTTGCTAAACATGCTAACCATCTATATGTGCACTGACAAGCTTATATTAAAAACTTTTAAGAATACTCTCCCCCTTAGATTTTTTCAAAGCTTTTTTGATTACAAAATTTCAAAGGCATTAGCATTTTCTTTTTTAGAGAATATAAAGTACGCCAGTATACATACATTTCCAGTATAAGTCAGACCACTAAGCGCATTACAGTCCCATACAGGCCTATACAGCCAATTTTTTTTCTTAAAAAACATGCATAGGCAGATTTTTTACAGAATATAGATGCTTTCACTGCACTTAATATGGTGTCTTGTTCACTATACTTAAAAATGCACCACTCATAAATATTTAAATTCAGCAAGCCACAACCAAGACTTGATTTACCAAAAAAAAGTAAAGAAAAAAAAGAAAATAATCCTAAATATAAACTGAAACTAGGAAAACAAAAAAAGGATATCGTTATTCCAGTTTTTTTTCCTTAAAAACATAAATGAAAAAGATTTCTCACTGCCAAATTAATTAAGGTAAATGTTATAATTAAAGAAGGGTATTCAAGCACACTAAAGAAACCTGAGGTAAGCATAATGTATACAAAATTAAATTGTCTTTTTTGGCATTTTTAACAAATTTGCAACATTCTTTTTTTCTTTTATATATTTTTTAAAGATTGCCTAATTATTTTTTTGTTTTGTTTTAGATAGCCGTTGTCTGACAAGAGTAGCAAAACATTATCAATAAATAGTCTCCTTATTTAGTTTGTACATCACTCTGTTAAAAATGGTTTGGATGTTGTCCATGTATAGTGCTGCAACTGTAAACGTACAATAGTTAGTAAGAAATCAGACAAAGTTGTCATGTCCAGTAACATAATAATAAAAGGCCTTTCAGTTAACATATCTAGAGGTTTCCAATGCAATAGGAAAACATGTTCATTCCCCTAACTTTGCAATATAGACCAGCATTAGCTTTCATTTATTTCTCTACAAGCATTTTAAAGGCATGTCCAAGGAGGTGTTACACCTCCACCCCCACCCCACCCAATAAAGTTTACTATCTCTTCTTAGATGATATTGTAAACTGAATCCAACATCTGGCCCCAGAGCAGGTAAGCTACTGTCAGAGGCAAGAAAATCCAACTGCTGTTGAGCAGCAGTCCCACGGTGCCCTGCTCAAAAACAAAAAAAATATCCCTGCAAGTCAGAAAGGGTCACTGAATATTGCTGCTGTTACTGCCATTGCTGTCGGTGCCGTTCGTCTCTGACGAGATTCCCTTGTTGATGGAATTCAGGTTGGCATCAGAAGGCATGGCATCCCTGCGCGGGGGCATCCTCTCATTGATCCGGTCCAGCCCTTTTGCTTCTTCAAAGCTTGTGATCTTATGCTGTGGTGAGAATCCTTTGATAGCTGAAGAGAAAAAGGGAGTGGGGAAGAAAAGAACAACAAAACGAGAAAGAAAGTCAGTAGGGACAAAGGGTTGGCTTTTTATCAGCTTACTGATCAATGAGTGAGAAATTCCTTCAAAGTGAAGAAAAAAAATGACAACTGCAATTAAAGCTTCTGAGTGTAACTGGAAACGGCTAAAAGGTGAACAGCCAATGTCTCTTGAATGATTAATATGCTCCCAACAAAATCCAGTTCTGGCATTTTGTTCTATAGTTTAGGCTAAATGGACAAGTAGACTTCAGAGAGAGAGGGAGAGGGAGAGGGAGAGAGAGGGGGGGGACAACTAAAATGGATTTTCTTAAAATCTGGAAACCAATTCTCATGAAAGTTTTCTTTGGGGATGGCGGAAATTGATGATCACAATTATTTCCTGTAGGAAATTTCATTTCCTTCCATAATGGTAGCTGGAATTATTGCAAAAAATCTATTTTGTCCTAACATTGAGGAGATTAACTCAGTTTGATACCAACAATAAACTGTGAATGTGAACGGAGGACCAATTTGAAACGAGGATTTTAAGAATACTTTGCAATGAGGTGATAGCAGTTCTGTTTTTTTTAAAAAAATGTGGATTGCCCTTAATAATTTCATTTATGATAGAATTTAGGCTGATTTCATATATTATTTTATTTCTTTGAAATAAAGGGATAAAATTTAGCAGTTTTGCAATTTCTTGCAACTTTCAAAAGCTCTAAAAGAAAAATTAAGATTTCAAAAGTGTAGCTTATCCAAGGACTCTTCCAATCATTTTATATCACATTCCTAGATTAGCAAGCTTGCTATATTGCTCTCTATGAAAAGTCCAGAGGGAAAATATAATAAATCATATTTTCAATCACTGTTAAGATAAAGGGTCCAAACTACAAATAGCATCCATTCTTTTGCTCTTCTTGCAGGAATTATTCACACCTACTAATTGCTATATTAGAGCGAAGATTAAAAAAAAAGGTTTTTTTTTTAAAAAATCGGGGTTTATTAAATAACTAAAGATCCTGATTAATCTAGAAGAACGCCTTATCTTTTATTCCCATTAATGTTATTACTGAAGCCACATTTAACTGTTGTTCGAACAGAATTTCTTTTTTAAAAAAATGAAAAGAAAGGGGTTGCTGAGTTGGAGGCATGCTATGTAACAGCTGAGTTTCTTTATTGTGGTATCCTGACTGCCCCATTGTTAAGGAACCTGTGTTGTATCCAAAAGATTCATTACTGAAGGAAAACTTTTTACTGTATTGTACAGAAGACTTTCAGTGTCTTCAGCGTAGCAGAACTGATTGTGTTATTCAATACAATAAACTTCTGTCAATCCCAGACAATTATAAAATAATCTCAACTGTGGTTATTTAATGTGCCATGGACTCTGAATATAATTCTTTTAGCATATTTGGTGTTCTTAACTTTGAAAGTATAAGAACATGAGTGAAGGTAACTGAATCTAAAAATCAATGAACTTTCCCTTTACCACCGGCATTGAATTTCCCATTGCTCTTATTAGGTACTGCATACATTTTGGTCCCTTCAAAGGCTCCATGCAAACCGCTTTTCTTAATATGGGGAGAATTTGGGGCAACAATCTGTTAATATCGCTTAATTTTTCAATTGCTACTATTCTCCATGCTTCTTTTTATTTTAATAAAATTCAAATCAAATGCTTTATATTAGATTTCAAAAATATTTGGTTATGCTTATGTCTGCTCAGGGTTTTTTTTACATGCACAGAGAGTCCAGCTAATCCAAACAAAAACACAGGGGAAAATTATTTGATGAATGTGAGCAAAAGTAAGAGTGTAAAGAGATTTTGTTGGTATGTTGACTATCTAATCATATCTATTTTCCAATAGAGGGAAAGCAAATTATTTTCTGAATTTTGATTTGACTTGCAATTTTGCTGTCCCTGGTATTATTAAACTTGGGTAAAATTTTGTAGAACATCTCTCATGCTGACGTTTTGCCCACCATGGGGATGGAAATGAGAACTGCAGAAAGATCTGGAAGACTGACACCCCACCTCACCCCAAATTATATGATGATTACTTTTATTCGTTGCCAGATGGAATACTACACCATCTGAAATGGCATTCAGTTTGTGAAAATTCCAACAAATTGCTGATGGATTGGATTTAAAGAATTAAGAGTGAAAACAAAGTTATTAATAGTTTACTTCTAGAAAATCTTGTCCAAGGGTTTTTTAATAATTAGGTCATTATACTTTTACTTGAACAAGAATTTGCAAGCAAAAAATATATATAACTGAATTTGATTCTAGTTCTCTCAGGGAAGACTTCAGTATGAAGTATAAACTGCAAAATATTTTTTGTGTATGGAACATTGTTTCAGCAAAGTACTGGATATTAATCCAATACATTTGAAGTTTGCGCACTGGCTTCTTTCAGACAGTCTTTTGTGGAAATTGCCAAAGGGCTAAAAATATCCTTTTTTTTCTGGCATTTTCTTTTCCCACATATCACTCAAGTTTAAAATCTCACCTATTCCCCACCAAATTTCAGATATGTTTCAGAGCTAAGAGATGGGTGAATGGTGACTGTTTGAGAACATTCCCTTTACATATTCACCACACTGCTGCCAGACCCATTCAGTTATGAATCAGGTGTGAGAAGTAAAAGTGGTCTACTTCTGTGGAGCATGTTAAGCTATTGGAGGGGTCCTGTGGCCTAGTGAGGCCACCCGTGAAGCTATTCTTATAATCACATTCTCTATTTGATTTCCCAAAGGAGAAAACCATTATAAAATAGTGATGAAGTAAAACTTCCATTACAGTACAAGGTAATAATAAATACAAGTTTAACCTGAACAAGATATATTTCCGGAATGGGAAGCATACTGTAAATTAATCTTTATGTCAAGAAGACATATTTATACATCATAGTGTTGAAGAATGTGTTCTGCTGCTGGTCAGACAATGATTATTAGCAGTTTACATTGAGAGTAATGCTAGAAACACAACACAGTCACACAAATCACAGGAAAAAAAAAAACAGCCAAACTGTCAACAAGAATGCACACTGCAGAGTAGATTTTGCCAACAGGAATAGAGAATTCCAATGTAAATAGCAGCTGACTCACTGCTATTTAGAAAGCAGTTGTATTTTCTCTTACTTATTTCTATGATTCTTTTTCCACCTCTGTAACAAAAACTTTCTTAAAAGCAAAAATAGATAAGAGAAGCCAAAATGGTAGAATTACATCTTGCCAGAAAGCTAATACTTTTTTTTTCCTTAAGAAAAACTCACATTTTTTATGTGGGCAAGAACAAAATACAACTGAATATATTTGTTTTGTTTTGTTTTAAAGGGGAACTTTAGAGTCTTCTCATCTTGCAAAACAATTTGAAATATTAATTTTCTCATTGCACAGAAAATATTTCATCATAAAAATTGGAGACCTCTTAACTGTATAACTAACAAAATTCCATAGTTGTTGAAATGAAAGATACGCTTAAGAGAGGCAGCTTAACATTTTGCATTCAAACTGCTCTGACAGTAATTCATTTGTGTCCGAAATCCTGTAAAATAATGCTGATGTTAAGGGTGAAATTACAGGAAGTTCCCAAGGCTTGAAAAAAATACTGTCTTACCATCCTCTCATTGTTTTAATGATTTTTTTTTTCTTCCCCCAAAGGGTATTTTAAAATGTGTTGAATTGCAGAGAAGACCCATTGACTTTTCTATGGACTTCAATACAGGGGAAATTTCTTTCAATTTTAGTTATGTACTCTCCATTTTCAGAGATAGCTAAAGAGAACACGAGGAATAGATTGGTCCCACTGCTTGTTTGCCAAATAGCTTTAATTGGATTGCAAGCTTTCTTATCCTTGTGTGACATTGATTCAGCATTTGAAGCTTCATGGACACATATCAGAACATTTTTGCAACTCTAAGAAACAACATCAACAACAAAAGAAACACTTTCCCCTTTAAAGCAAGTAAACTTAGGTTAATACTGAGCCACAATTGTTAGCTCAACACCCACACACTCTATACAAGCTACAGCAAAAATGAATACACCCAGCAGAGCCCTTATCTGTTGTAACCACAACAGAAAGGGATCTGGCCAATTTACCTTCATCAGCCTCAATAGCCTCAACAGTAGCTGAAGAGAAGAAAGGGGTAGCAAAATGAATGAGAAAAATGAGCAGAGGATTTAACTCTTAGAACAAGTCAGTGAATAGCAAAGGAGCTAGTACACTTAAAAGTTACTGTAAGTGCTGGATTTTGACACAAAAGACAACACAAAATGCCACGTACAAAAACAAACACAGGTATTGTAACTGGCAGGCAATAGATTTCTTGTTTATTTTGCAGGGGATGAAGAAACATGTGATCTGGTGTTTGGAAATGACCACAGTGGTTAAATAGAATATAAATTGGAAGTTCCAATGATTAAGTCATTTAGGACAAGAACAGCTGCCATATTTAATGGGGCAAGTTAAACAGAGGAGCGCCATATAGGAAACACAAACTTTAAGCAGGCAGAAGAAATCACCACCATTGCTGAAACAGCATTTTCTCTCAATTCTACTACCTGGTAACCTTGAAGATGCCTTGGACTTCATCTCTCCTAATTCTCAGTAAATTGGGAATTGTTGGGAGTTGAATTCCAATGCATAAGGCTGTGGAAGTTTGGTCTTAATAGCAATTTTTGAAGGAATATGGTATTTGTGAACTTTGGTGAGCATCTTTTCCTCCATTTTCTGTTCATCCTACATGCGTGTGTCTGCATACACACATATATACACACACACCAGTGTCCAACATTTTGTTTAATGCATTTCTTATTATTTTTTGAATGCACGGATATATTTTGAGGTAATCCATAAATGGCTGAAATTCTAACAAATGTTAGAATTCTATGTTCTGTGTGTATGTATATGTAAATTTTTGAATGGAACTAAAATACTGGAAAACAGGCTGCTTCATAGTCGTTTGTAGTATAACACAGATTTAAATTTTGCCTTTTAAAACTGGGCTTAAGAATATACAAGCAGAAATTAAAAATACTTTCCTTGGGCAGCCAGATGGATCTCACTTATTATCAGCCTGTGTCTGACCAAATCAGAATATTATACTTTTGCAAATGAAATATTTAATATGGACATCTGTGATATCTCATTAAATGCCATATTGTATCAAGGGTATGTTCCCCCATAGAATCTAGAGCCCTTTGTTGTGGAAAATAAGAGAATTAAGTAATAAAAATAAATATGCATAATCAACATGAAAGAGGAAATAAAAGAACAAAGATGAGCAACAAGATCTAAATTGCATGGAAATGTTGAAAATAATGACTACTAAGAATGAGCACATTTCACAGAATATATTGCCCATATTTTCTGTTAATTGCTCTTAACAGAAATTATGTGAATTTCAGTATATTTGATGAATGGTACAAGATACTAACTAATGGGTATAGTAATGTTCTGCTAGATTTAATACTGCAGTATTTGCCAGTGCATAGTTTAATGAGACCTTTGAATGATGTGACAGGAGGAAATTTTACTTCTTTAACTAGGACTGCAGTGCTTTTGGTACACCAAATTATCTGAAAGTCAAATATCCTCTAGACACTACAAATTGCATCAGTGTATCAAAAATACTCTGTCATACTGCAGCATTTACAAAGCAGAATATTACAATATATGTAACACACAAGCCACCAAAAAGAGAGTTTACCACAGAATACCTGAATCTTCTAGATAAGAGAAAAAGAGACAAAAAGGGGAAAAGTACAGGGAAGAAACTCCAAGAAGAAATGGGAAAGTTAGAGGCTGAGACTGAGTTATTAGAAAGGCGAATGTCCATGTCTCATGGTTACTAAAAGTTGCATCATAATTACAGTAGGACACTAATGGGTGCATGAAATATATGTTAAAAACAAATAACAAAATAACAGTTATATACATTAATGAATTTGATTGTGGCTCCTTACTTCAAGAAGTTTATCCTACTAGCTATACTCCATAACATAATTCATACAAAATATGTTTTGATACAATCACTGGGTAATAATGCTTTCCTGCTGCATTCAAATAAAAATCACGCTCAATTAATGAATGCTTCCTCAAGTTCATTTATGACTTCCCCATCTGTGAATTAGAGATTAACTACTAGGTTTGCCCATTAGATTTGCACCTATGAAGGAAACCTGGATTCCAATTCAAATGTGCAGATTTCCTTGAACAAAAAGAATAATAAAGACACACTTTTTTGGAGAGGGGAAGCAACACTGGAGGGGGTTTCTGCATTTTGCTGTGCAAGGGAAAAAGGATAATATGTTCCTAAAAAATACTCAAGATTTGTATTCTGTACTGACCTATTCTTCTAAAAAATATCAGCATCCCTGAAACTGTATTCCCTAATCTGCTCCTTGTGTTTATGAAACCACAATGGGTTCAGCCATCATGCTAAACATGGGGCTAAAAGAAACACCAGCCTATTGGGATGCTGTTAAATGAATCTAGATGCTGTGCTCACTACACCAGTCATATAGACTTGGCTTTAGTGTTGCTGCAGGAAAGGAACAAAGCAACAGTGGAACATCACAAGCCTAAGTGGAATACTAGTGTTCCATGGTTGGCCATGCCCACACACCTATTTTACCTTTCCCACAATACAGTGCTCATCACATAAGCACTGCAAATACTGTCTGATGGGAAGTTAATATTATAGCTAGGCCAGCCAGACAAGCTAATAGCGCTAGAGGTTACTGTCAGCCTGCTACCAGATATCAGGTGTGTCAGGGATTCAAGTGTGTGCTTGTTTACATTACGGAAGATTTTTCAGAATTATGCACATTATTAACAATACTACACAGGAATATTCATGCAGAGGGAATATCTCTGCATTTATAAATTGGGGACTCAGATACATTTTGCAACCCTGCCTATCTTCCTTGTGATTTCTTAAATGGATGCAGATCTACATTCTTAGTGCTCATACCAATACGGGGTAGACTAGGGAAAGAGTTTGGTTTGATCTGAACATTTTATCTTTATGTTTAATCCCCAGGCATTTAGGTGTACTAAAAGGAAGCAGAACTTTAGGAAGCTAACACAGATATGAATTAGACATACTTCCCCCCCCCCCGATTGTTGTGCTTCTTCTACAGAAGATTCCTTCCCGGAAATTAAGAAATAATCTATTTTTCTTCTAAATAATATCAAGTGGGATAAATATGGTTTGAAAATTAGATTTGTTCTGTGTGTATGTGTGTGTGTGTCAAACCCAATTTTGTGAACTACGTTCCAGATCTGTGGTCTTTCCCTCATTTTTTTTTTTTTGAAAATACTGTATTGTTATAATGCAGCGGTTCTCAACCTGTGGGTCGCGATCCCATTTGGGGTCGAACGACCATTTTACAGGGGTCACCAAACAATGCGATCCGCCATTTTGTTCCCTCAGGGGGCGGCAGCGCGCATGCGCGCCGCGCATGGGGGCAGCACCACGCAAGCGCGCTGCACATGGGGGCGGCACCACGCAAGTGCGCCGCGCATGGGGGGGCACCACGCAAGTGTGCCGTGCCGCAGATGCGCGCCGTGTCCTTATGACCGGGGTCGCCGTATAAAAAGGTTGAGAACCACTGTTATAATGGAAAGAGGATGAAAAATTTAGGTCTATCACAGTATACATGTGCAAAAGCACTTACCGCTTTGTAGAGTTTGTTTTCCTCCAGACAGCACCCCGCTGGGCAGCATTCCTGTTGGGGTCAACCCTTTCAGTGTCAGCACACTCTCACTCTCTTCCCTGATAGGAACAGAATGAGACTGTCAGCTGTGGCTAACAACAGATACAATCAGAGGAAACTGGTTGTAAAGCTGGGCACCTTCTAACACTTTAGGATGCTGTTCCAATTGAAGAACACTTCTCTTTTTACACCTTTTTTATTGTGGCAAGCTGCTTTGGACACCAGTCTTTGAGTAAAAAAAGTAGGACCACATATATTAAGCAGAACAAAATTCCCAGTAATACAGGCCTAGGAGTTATGACATATTGTACATCCCTTTATTTTCTAAGTAATTATAAATCTCAAGTCCATTTGGGTGGGTAGAGGATTTCATCTGGAAATGAGGAAAGTTTAGATAGTAAAAGCATTTTTTTAAAAAGAAAAAAAGGTAATAACACATGATTATTAACCACATCATTATACTGGTTAATGTTCATATAACATTTTTTTTTCTGCCATTCAATTGTGACTGATTTTCAGAGACTGCTTGGACAAATTTCTTCTTGGCAAGGATTTTCAGAAGTGGCTTACCATTGCTAGAGCTGAGAAAAAATGACCCAGGTGGTTTCATGCCTAAAGTGGGACTAGAAATCACGGTCTCCTGGTTCATAGCCTAATGTCTTAACCTCTACACCACGCTGGTTCTATATAAATGATATACCACCATTTCTTCTGCTGAAGGCTTCAGGAATAATCTTTTGGGGTTAACATTCTGAGGACTGCTGAAGCAAGTCAAAGATAGTGTCAGAGCCAAAAGGACGAAAGGGGAAACCACTCTTTTCTTATATTTCCAACTCTCTTTTCTCTCTTTAACCTAGGTTCCAGGAAAAGGATTGCTATGCTTACTAGCTACCAGTGATCTATTCTGCACTGTTTAGAGCTCTTCCAATTAAGGTAAAAGCTATAAGAAATTAGAGCAAGGCCATACACAGCCACAGAAGTGCAGACCCTCACATACATGGGTTGAATGTTCACTCAGCTCAACTGATCACAACATCGGCAATATTTCAACAAGGCACTACTTAATTATGCAGCACAGCTTTTGACCACCCAAATCCCAGAGGAAGAAGTGATCTGCATCAGAATTGTCTCTAAACAAAAAGAAATGTGTGCGCATACGGAGGGGCTGTGTGAAATATTTGCTTTTGTTTTTGGCTTTAGACAGCAAAATGTCTTTGACTAACTTCTGCAGTTTAATCATCTAGATTGTTCTAAAGCTTGCAATATATAAAAATTCTGAGATGGTAGCCCTCAGCTTACAATCACAATGGAGCCCAAACTTTCTGTTATTGAGACAGTTGTTGAGTTTTGCCCCATTTTGCTACAGTTGTTAAGTGAATCATGGTGGTTGTTAAATTAGGAACACAGTTGTTAATTGAATCTGGCTTCCCCATTGACTTTGCTTGTCAGAAAGTCTCCAAAGTTGATCACATGATCCCAGGACACTGCAACTGTTTTAGATGTGAGCCAGTTGGCAAGTGTATGAATTTGGATCAAATGACCATGAGGATGCTGCAATGATAGTAAGTGTGAAAAACAGTCATAAGTCATTTTTTCAGTGCTACTGTAACTATAAATAGTCACTAAATGAATGGTTGTAAATCGAGGATTACCTGCATATCTATTTAGAACAGTAGTGCCGCGACCCCCAACTGGTCATAAGTCGAGGACTATTCAACTGGTGCAGCACCATTTGCAGAATGGGACTTTTGGCGAGCTCAGCAGGGCAGAGACAGCCTGGACAATTCCTATTGGCTTTTGAAAGCCAATAGAATTAGACTCTATTCAAGAGAGTCTATTCTATTGGCTTTCAAAAGCCAATAGAATAAAAGGGAATAGCACAACTAAGGAAAAGGGGGAAAAAATGGTGGACTGCGTTGTTTGGTGACCCCCGTGAAATGGTCATTCGACCCCTTATGGGGTCCCGACCCACAGGTTGAGAACCACTGATTTAGAAATTTTTATGATCTATCTGTACTGTGAACAAACATTCAACTGAGAAAAGGCAATTCCCTTTTTTAATGAAGTTGATTGGGTAAAACCCTGAGGAAATGTCTTTTCCTGTTTTAGAATTGTGGTGGAAATGTGGTTAGAAGGCAGTATTTTAGGCTGATGCTTCCACCAACCCGGAGTTTGATCCAGAGCAGCTCAAGTTTGACTCAGACTTTCATCCTTTACCTGAGGTCAGTAAAATGAGAACTAGATTGTTGGGGCAATATGCAGACTCTGTAAACTGCTTTGAAGCAGTATATAAGTCTAAGTGCTATTGCTACTGTTATTTTTCTGAGGAACATTTCTCTGAAGGAATGAAGAATAATTTCTGACTCTAAAATACATAGGAGCCATACCTCAGTACAGAGAACACTCGAGCCATTTTCCCTATTGCCCGGATCTTATTCCGTATAACTTCTTTTCGAGCTGCAGCTGTGGCTCCTATAAGTATAAAAAAAGAAAGAAAGAAAAATAATGTAAAAATTTTTTTAGAATAATACCTGAATTTCAAGAACTATAAAAGATACATTTCATCTTCCACAGTCTCCCAAAATCTTCCCATAATCCTATCATTTTATTTGTTGATGTACATAAATTACCTGCAGCTATATACTTTCTCTGTTTATTAAAACCTGGATTTTTATTCTTTTACAAGACACAAATGCAATGGTTCTATAAAATAAACTGTCACTTTTACATTTTAATTTAGAACTACAAGTTAGAATATTTTTTAAAAAGAGTTATCTTTTTATTTAGGTTTTATGCAGTTAAATTATATATCAAATTATACTTTAACATGTATAGTTCTACTGGTTTTCAGAATGCTTTTCCCTGCTTTTTGAAATCCCTGCTCTTTTCTTTATCAGTCTTTATTTTAATAAAAATGTATACTGAACTGCCACTGAGAAAGTAAAAAAAGAAAAAAAAAGAAAGCTTCTCTGGGAATGCTTGCATATCAACCATAAATAGTTTGAAAAATGTTTTCTACATCTAACTGGGAAGAAGCATAGAACTAGCTACTTTGCACATTACATGAATGTGTAATGTGTAAGGCAGCTAGCTTACATTTTTAAGAAGAGATTGGACAACCATTTATATGAAATTGTATAGGGTTTCCTGCTTGAGTAGGGAATTAGATTAGAAGACCTCCAAGGTCCCTTCCAACTTTGTATTTCTGTTATATATTCAAAGAATTAACACTGGAAGCGAAGTTGTACCAGTTCTTGATCAAATGACTCTGTCCTCCCTGAATTTTTATCAAAAGCGCTCAGAAAAATGTTGATTTTTGACTTGTGCCTTGGACCAATATAGTTCTCAATCACCTGATAATATATACATAACAAATCATTACAGAGCACTAGTTCAAGATCAATTTTAATGACTGAAAGAAAAGCATCAAAATGTTTGACTTTTGACCTTGATCTTTATGGCAAATGATGCATGTGAAAAATGAGAAATTACATTGATAAGGTTCAGTCAAGCTACCTGTTCCTGATTAATTTTAAACAAGATTGCATTTAGAGATGAAAAAAAACCCCTATGTATCATAAAATAGTCTGTAATCTTTAAAATAAATGTTTGCAACAAGGCTTATTACTGAAAGAAAAAGGAAGTTTTAGAAAAGAAAATCAAGCCGTAGAAAACAAAAGGAATTTCACATTTAGTTAGCTCACATTTAGTATTTAGTTTCAGAAAAGAACATTATCTGAATTGATGGTGTTTGGTTACTTTGGAATATAAAATATCTTTAAGGCCTTTGCAAATATTGAAGGACATATTACTGCTTATCTCTCTATCAGAATAAATAGATTTTGTTAATATCTAACAGCAAAATAATGCTTTAAAATATAAAATAGAGGGAATATCCTTTTTGTTTATGCCCAACGTACATTTATACAAGTAACAAGGTAACAGAAAACAACTTAAGAATGGATAGGTGATTATCACTGATTTGTGGCATGCTCTGCAGTTATGTCAAATAACCAGTAGCATTAAGGGGATGGGAGGGGTCACAAGTAAGGAGCACTGCAATATCACAGAAGATGCCCCCACATTTTTATATTATTGTAGTGTTGCATTTATAGCTGAAAGGCATAATTCTGCCTAGAGTTGCGGTAAGCTGGGTAGCCTATAAATTTCATATATTAAATTACATAAATTTACATAAGATTAGGAAATAGCCTGATCTGAGCGCTCTCTCTTTCTCTCTCTCTCTCTCTCTCTCTCTCTGTGTGTGTGTATCCCCAAAGATGCTGCAGCAAGTACCTTCAGAATAGTGCTCAAATTAGGCAGTTTCCTAATTTTATGTAGGTGTTTAGGCAACTATGCTGATTTGGATATCATCACATCATTATCTTTTTTTTTATCATGCCAATGGGGATCATTATACAAGGAGAAGAAATGGCAGGGTTGCTTTAGGTACAAAGCTCTTTTTTACCCAACACAGAAATATAGTTCTTAAAAGTAGAGAAGTTATATGTGAAAAAAATCCTGAAATAATGGAAATGGGTAGAGAAAAACCAAAAGGTTACTGTACAAAGATAATGACACAGTTACATCAACATAAGGATTTATGTCAGGAATTAAAGAAAGAAGGAAGGAGCTGGATTCAGATGAGGAAATTTTACTTGAAAACTAGAACTGTACTTGAAGAACTGGAGAAGTAAGGTATAAAAGAATTCCTAGACTGATGTTAAAAAGTTTCTGAACTAGAATGTGCTATGATATTTATCCCACTCCTTTCTTGAGTTCCTTTTAAAAGATTTATTTGTTTCTCAATAGAAGAAATAGTATTTTATAAGCAAAATGGATTGCAGGATTTTTACCTGGAAATATGAAATGGTATTCCCTTTTTAATTAACTCTTTATAGAAATAAAAATAAGATACAATAGTTTACTTTCTTAAAAACATAATTGTGTAAATCACAGATAAAGCAAAATGTGCTATTTTTATAGCCAATTTCAGTTTTTAAAGCCACAGTTAGACATATTAAGATTCAAGAAACTTTTTTATTCAAGAAAAAAAATAGAAAAATTTGTAAATTTCTATGAATGTCAAAAGTGTAAGAAGACAGGTTCACAAAGAATTCACAAGTCATAGAGAAAATAGGTGGATCCAATTAATTGTATTCAAGTAGAAAATATTTATCTTTTTAAATGACAACATGAAAAAATAAATTATAGTAACTAAATAAAACATTAGGCTTAATGTTAGATAAGAAATAATGCTGTGATTCACTTTCATTAAAATAATGAATAAAATAGTAACTTTTTCAGTGAATATTATATATTGAGATAATAAAGTAGGGATGTAATAGAAATAAATCACTAGTATCTTTCAAATAAAATGTTATCCACTATAATGTATAGTAATTAAGTGGACATGCATGTAATTCATGGAGTCAATCAACAGCCATCTTGAAATATTTCCAGCTCAAAAATTGTATACAAAATGCATACATTTGAGCATATGAGAGAGAGAGAGAGAGAGAGAGAGAGAGAGAGAGAGAGAGAGAGAGAGAGAGAGAGAGAGAGAGAGAGAATATACTTGAGAAAGATAAGTAAAAGATGCATGTACAGTATTAAGGAAAGATGCTAATACATGCGAAGTGCATACATCGAAGAAATTATGTACCACAAAAACTCTGGGTTTATTTATTTTGTGCAGAAAATGTGATGAAACTGACTAGTTCCTGAATTCAAGCTGATTTGACCAGAATTTAAATTGATCTGCATATCCTTAAAATATAGTATTTTTAAATTCTTAATATTATCCTTTAGAGGAAATTAAAAAAATTCTTAGGGCAAATCAAAGTTATACAATGAACTAGATATACCCAGGATTTATAATTGTAGTAATAAACTGCTGAACAATTGTATATGTAAATAGTTAACAAAATCTCAGATTCACTGGAAAAAATTATCTGCTTTAAAATGCAGCTTTATTTAAAAAATTAAGTGATATCGTACAAAACAAAAATACCTTAGATGGTATTTTTGGAAGTGGAAAAAATTATCATCACATCAGATTATAATCCACATCAGAAATAAATCCATACATCTGTAGTCCTCCTGAATCAAGACTTAAAAATATGGTTCAAAATTCTTGATATACCTCTAAAATGTATATTGTAAAAAAATATATGCTTTCTCTTAATCTCTTGCAGTGAAACACTTACCTTCTGCTCTTTAGAAATTTGATATGGACAATAAATTTATCAAATAAATTAGAGTAGGTACAAAATATATACACAAGGAGACAAATCTAGACATGAAAAGGGAGATCAGAATTTGAAAATGTTTATAGAGGGCCTATTTAGGAACATCATAATTAAACACACATTTAGTAATTTCTTTAGCATAAAAATAAGAACAAATGAAGAGTCAGAGAGAAAGAAATCTATATGAAACTCATATATTATTTATGAAAAAACCAGTGAAAACCTTTGGAGATTTTGACTAGTATCTAGACTTAAGTTTGGAAAAAGTTGGTTTTAAGTTAAATCAAGTAACTGATGTTGCTTTATTAATACAGAGGGGTTTTTTTTTCAGGGAAAATGGCTTTGTATTCTTTGATCTGACAGAAAAAAACAGCTTTATTTTTTTCCCCAGCTACATTTTATTATTTTTGAATATTTTTATGTATTCATTACTAGTAACTGAAAAAATATCTTTCACAATGGGGAAAAAAATGGAATTGTAGCCAAAGTTGTTAGTCATTAAATTCAATGTGAATAGATAGAATCCCTGTAAAAAAAATATTTTGATGCATCTAAAATGCTCTTTAATGATACACAAATGTAACTAGGCTATTATCAAATGCTATCTTACTGAACAACTGTGTAATGAATGTGATAAATTCAATAATAAAGTTAGGATAGATTTATCTTTGTTCATATGGTTGCATACAGTAATAAAAATCTGAGAATAAAGTATACCATTATGTGTTTTGGGTTACGATGTTGGTTGAAACAGTATAAATAGTATTAGAACAAAGAATACAAAGAATAAAAATAAATTGAGACGGGTTTGAGACGGTGGATCTGCGTGCACGATGGCGGCTACTTTGTAGCCGTCCTCCTGGGTAAGTGTTTGAATCGCTATGAACAGTGGCCATTAGCTGTTCAGCGGTTCAAAATCCCCCTCCCAGGCAAAGGGGGGGGGAAGAGGGTTGTCTGAATAGTGGTAGAGCCACTCTCATGCACCCCCAAGGCTTTTTTTGGAGGGTGAGAGGAGTGCTCCCACGGAGTTCAGACTGTCTCCGCTTCCCAGCTGCTTTTGTCCCTAGGGACAAAACAAGCCGCTGCAACCACCTCCGCGATTAAAGTGATCTGGTGAGTTTTTTTTAGAGGCGGACAGAGCTGAGTGGAGGATTTAGCTTTTGCTTTCTTTGATTTTATTTGGATTTTAAGTTTAAAGATTTACTTTTACTTTTATATTCC